TGGTTTCTATTTATCAACAGAAAAGATCATAAAGAGCAAATGAAGTAATTTCTTTGCCTTGATTATTTGGCCATTCCAGATATTCTTTGATATTATTAAAATGAGCTAAAGTTTCTGATTTTTCATTTCTATATTTAAACTTATGTTTATTTAAAAAGGTAATAATAGGGCGGCACCTGCGGCTCAGTGGTGGGGTGCCGGCCCCATGTACCAAGGGTGGCGGGTTCAAACCTGGCCCCAGCCAAACTGCAACAACAACAAAAAAAAATAGCTGGGTGTTGTGGCGGGCACCTGTAGTCCCAGCTACTTGCAAGGCTGAGGCAAGAGAATCGCCTAAGCCCAGGAGTTGGAGGTTGCTGTGAGCTGTGTGACGCCAGGGCACTCTACTGAGGTTGATAAGTGAAACTCTGTCTCTAGAGGAAAAAAAAGTAATAATATAGTAGCAACAATAATACTAGAGTATAGCAACAATGCGAGCAACATTTTCATTCTTCTGTTACTTTACTATTAAAATGTACTTCATTTCACATGGCTTCTTAGTTATTAGGGGAAATTTTATGAAAAAGGAACTTCGGCTTCTTACAGTGCAGTGTTCTGTATTACGTAACATTTGCACATACAGAGTTTCTTCAAGTATATGTATTTACTAAGAAGTCTGTGTATAGAATGCTTTCATGTGGAAAATACGATATATAATTTTGGATTTAGCTTCATTAATTACTACTTTTGGTGACATTTTTTCTTCTGAAACTTTTACATTTTATGGCATTTTAATGTTTTCATAGAAAAACAGCACATGGGTCTATCCTATCCAGGTTTACACATAATTCACATTATCAAATCAAAGACGTTCTAGCGGTTGGTGGTATTTGCTTGTTAATTTTTTGATGAATGGCTAAAGAGACCAAGAAGTGCTCTCAGTCCAACCTGTCTTCTGAAGATAGATGATTGCAAATAAATTCTCTTCCCAATCAGATTTTGATTTGTTGGGTGTTAAACCAATATTTTCTAAGGACAGTGTTTACAAGGCTTGTAATGAGACAGCCCTCTGAGACCTTACCTCTTTTTGCCTGTAATTTTGATGAATGAAACTCTAATTCATAAAGGATATTGTGATTGAAAAGCACCTTTAGATCTCATACACTTTAATTTAGATAAATGTATGGTGCAGTACCATAAAATCAGGAAGTTTACTGAGCTGCAAACTGATAACACTTCAACAGTAACAATAAGTTCAGTGTGTTGATGTGGATTAATTTACTATATTTCATTTAAAGACATGATTGTTTTACTGCTTTAAAACTAGGGGGAATAAAATTGAAAATTTGATATACATCTTCCTTCTACACCATTTTTACTGGTATATTTTTATTTGGAAACACAAGAATAACATAACGCTTTTGTTAATGTGGTTGTAACGCATGGAAAAACTTGTTTTAGTAGGCTGATTCACACTTCTTGTAAAGAACCAAGTTCTCTTTCATGTAAATATATGGATTCTCCAGTTCTCCCCAAACCGAAGGCAAATTACTAAGACCAGATCTGAGGTACCCTGGAAACTACATTTAGAAATATCCAGTGGCAACTGTTAGGTCTAAGTTGATTCTTTTATTCAGGATCTATAAAGGCTTACTTGGTACCGAGCAGTGTGCTGAGTACTGAGAATACAAAGGCAGAATCAGGCTGCCAAGTATGACACTGGTAACTATTAACACTATAGTAGAGGGATTTATGAGATACAGTGAAAGCATAAGGGAAAGCACATGCAAGTCTACCTTAAGAAATAAGAGAAAGAGGGCGGCACCTGTGGCTCAAAGGAGTAGGGCGCCAGCCCCATATGCTAGAGGTGGCGGGTTCATACCCAGCCCCAGCCAAAAACTGCAAAAAAAAAAAAAAAGAAAGAAAGAAAGAAAGAAAAAGAAATAAGAGGAAGGAATAGGGTGGGAGTTAAACTTGAACTTCAGTGTAGCAAGTGTTTGTGACACACTGTGAGTCTCCAGTCATTGAGGCTACAGAAATAAAGCCATAACCTCGTAAAGAGGACAGTCACATAGCAAGTAACACCTGTACAATGCAGCTGAGTTACGTTTACAAGCTGTGAAAGTACAGAGGGGTTGGTGGGGAAGATCTGAAGGAAGTGAACTTTGAAGGGCACTAGGTAGGAATTAGCCAGGCAAAAGAGGAAGGAAGGAACGTGAAGAGGCATGTGAAAGCATGACATATTTTGGAAGCTATAAATAGCCCAATATGGCTGAGAGGGGATGGGTGAAAACATGCACTGGTGGTGAGAGGGAAAAGGGCTTGTTAAACCACCAACAAGTTTAGATTGTATCCTCCGGTATCAGTGTTCCATTGAGTGTTATTGATGGGGATCAGTTAATAAATAATATTTTACGTAGGAAAACATCCTCAACTTACTTGTGTTCTATGATGAACACACTGACAAAAGATGCTCTGAGTATCTGTTTGATACTGATGCTCTGAGCTGTTGAAGTGCTCTAGACCAAAATAATGATGGCCTGAATTAGGGCAGCGGAGTCACCATGGAGGATGAATTCCTGTGTTTTTAGCTTAAGTGGGTTGATCAAAATAGGAGGAGGATGGGGAGCAAGAGACAGTTACCTCTTTTAGGGAAATGTTCAGTTGGTAATGTCCAGGCAAAGATGTCTAGAAATATGGCTTTTAAAGACCTCAGGAGAGGCTTGGCGCCTGTAGCTCAAGTGGCTAAGGTTCCAACCACATACACCAGAGCTGGTTGGTTCGAACCCGCCCCAGGCCTGCCAAATAACAGTGACAACTGCAACAATATAATAGCCAGGTGTTGTGTGGCGGGCACCTGTAGTCCCAGCTACTCGGGAGGCTGAGGTAGGAGACTCACTTGAGCCCAGGAGTTGGAGGTTGCTGTGAGCTGTGATGCCACAGCACTCTACCCAGGGTGACAGCTTGAGGCTCTCTTTACCAAAAAAAAAAAAAAAACCTCAGAAGAGATTTCTGGATTAACAGTCATTGGATTTGCCTCTTTTGTTCTCCGATGATGTAAGCTCTATCTTTCTCTTATTATTTGCCTAAAAAGCAAAAAGTTTTAAAGATGGCTAAATTCAGAAGATCACTGTTATGCTGGCTTTGTATCACCAAAAATCAAATAGAATTAAGATAAGGTTCTGAAGCATTCAGTGATCTAGCCTCAATCTTTTATTCCAGAAATGAGAATTATCTATTGACCAGTGAAAGGAGAATACACATGTAACCCACTTAATTCTCTTCTTTCTGATGTAGGACTGATTTATAATGTTTGTCTCTCAAGTTTTTATCAAAATATATATTTAACAGTCTATTCCTTTATGTTGTTAAAGTACATGAGGCCAGACAACTAAATTTATGAACTCATCCACGCAAATGTGCTAGATACCTCATTGCTGAATAGCACTATGGTCGCCAGACGGCCAAGGGGAGTGCCTTGAGGGTGAGCATTGTGATAATCAGCAGTGAGTGATGTAGCACTTTTTCTAGGATGAATTCATGAACTCAATTGTCCAACCTCATATATTAACCACATTCTGTAGATGCTGTTATCTAGTAGGAGCTAGAATGAAAGGCTGCCTATCTCGGAGCCAGTGATACCCTATAATGGTACTGGGACGTGACTGTGTTCCTCAACACGGCCTTTCTTTGAATTTTTTCATGTTTTAGAAAACAGAATTGGCCCACAGTCACTGAGAAAAAGAAGTATGAAGACCACAAGGGGAAAAAAGGAAAAGCCTAATGCTGTTTTACAATCCAAGTTTTGTGACAGCTGGATACACTTCCACTTGAGCAAACATCGATAGGCAGTAAGGGGCTGTTGGAAATCCTACAGACAGGCCTGGGAGAACTGGCCAGAGATACTATAAACTGTAACTGGAGAGAATTTTGGCCAGTGGCATGCATGATTCGGAGAGCAGTTGCCTATGTACACTACACCATGGTATCCCCTAGAAATATAATACAGTACCACCATATAGGGCTATTAGGCCCTCATTTCTAAAAATACATCCACTGCACCAAATAAAGTATGAAGATATTTTCACAGTTACTGCTGCTACTTGAAGCCTGTATCCTCATACCACAGCTAGAACACAGTAAATTACATTTTCTTCCAAACTGAATTTGAACTTCACATATGTGTACATATAATATTAATATATTCAAGTATAAATTTGCTTGTAATTGGATAATTTTAGTTTCATTGTCACCTGCCAAAGTGGGTGTTTAAATGTAAATATGGAAATAAAATTGTTAAGAGTCAAATTCATGAGAAATTCAAATGCATTAATTCCTAACCTGCACATTGATTGACATGTCAACATCAGGTCAAATTTTGCTGCATTTCAATTTTTATGCTTATTTCTGTGTGTGTTGATTTATCTTTTTGTACAATTTTATATAGCCAAAATAAGGACATCCTTTCAGAAAACCAGTATTTATTTCATTAATTGCTAAAGAAATAGCTATTGTGGGTTTAATGTCTTCATAATTTCTAATTCCACCTTTAACCTCCCAGTAATAAATGTTTTTTTGTCTTCAGATGTGAATGCTTTCTTATTTTCTTCATATCCATCTAATCTACTTTCAAAATGATCTGATCAATTGATTAGACAATTAACACAAAAGTATAATGATATAAAATTATGTAATTATGTGGATAGAAAACTGAGTGTGGGATGAGGTTCAGATTTTTGCTTGACTGTGCACTGATCTTAGAGTCCATAAGACACAAAGGTCCCTCAACAATGCCTGTAGCTTTTTAGCCAATTTCCTCATCTGTGCAATAGGGGTAGGTGATTGTAGGACCACACCCCCATTTTCTCACAGAAGACCACACAAGAAAAAGAAGCTAGAAATGTTCTGTAATTGTAATGTGTAAATACAACATACAATTTTAATAAAGTGGTCAATTATTTCCACTACTACAAGCAAAAACAATCACAGTAACCTGAACTATCACACTTTGGTTGTATTAGGCACTGAAGAAGATATAGTGAAGTCAAAGAAAACATTCCGAAGTCAGGCCATCGTGAACCAGAATGCAGAGACGGAACTCATGCTGGAGGGAGACGACGACACAGTCAGTCTGCTGCAGGAGAAGGAGATCGACAATCTTGCCGGTAAATTTTTAAATATTTTCTTATTTGTTGTAATAAATACACACAGAGTTACTGAGTTAACAGTCTGTCTCCTGATGAATAAACGTGTGCCAGTGGTCTTCAGAATGATCAGTCATGTGAATGTTAGTGATTTACTTTATCTCATTTTTAGTATTAAGGAGAAGACCCCTAACAAATGTCTGTTTTACTGGCAATGAATAAATAGTATCAACTGTCTATGTAATCAACAACAACTATTTATGTAGGAGAAATGATATAAGTGATTCATGTGTAACTGCCTGTATAATTGGAAGATTGGACAGGATGATAGACTCCTTGATATACATATGTCTCTAACACGCCAAGAGCCATGAACAATAAGCCCGTCAGCTAAGTGACTATTGCATTGTCCTTGACTGCCTGCTGTCACTCTGTGGGATGTCCCTGCCCACTCCTCTTCTGTTCTCTAACCTCATGTTGCTAATTCCTTACCACTAGCAGACACTCCTTCCCCTACCACCTCAGTTTCATCTTGGCCTGGTGCTGGTCTAAAGTCCATTCTAGATGGCATCTGTAGTGAGCAGATGGGCGATGGATATCTTTAGAGTATTGGCCCTTAACCTTTTTTGGGTTTGAACCCACCATCAATCTGATGAAAGCTGGTTGCTTCATGATGATGCACATACAGTTTTATACACCATTTCAGAGCTTTCACTCACCCCTGGAAACCAGTCCATGGAATATTATGTGTGGTCTGTGGTTTAAAACTTCTGAGTGGCTGACTCCTATATCAGTTGTATATTTTTAGCCTGTACAACATTGAGGTGCAAGGTGGCAATGGAGAGGTGGATTTTTATTTATCATACTGAAAATTACCTGGCATAGGTTTATGAACCCTCCAGTGATTTATTTCTACCAGTTAGATATTTCTGTTTTTATCAAAGACAAAATGTTACTATTAATTGTAAGTTGGAGGTAGCATATTATTCTCCCTCTTCTAGATTAAGAAAATGTTTAATAAGTTTATTCTAATACTAGTTCCTAGATAAATATCTGTTATTAACATGTATCTTCAAAACCTTTCTTTCTATAAAAGTAATCTTAAGTCTATGACCAAATGTTTGCCTTAAATTCTTAAGTAAATGTTCAAGTTTTGGTTTTGTTGTATTTGTGGTTTCTTTGTTTCAATAGGTCACAGATTTTTATCTGAGGGGATCTGGAAATTTAAGCAGATCTAGATCATTGATTCTGTTTGTCCACAAGTGTTTTCTCTTTTTCTGGTCTCATCTTAAAGAGCATAGAAAATTCACAAAGTTATCTCTGACCTTTTAAGATAATGTGTTGCCTTTTCTCATTTGCATATACTAGCAGATCTGTTTAATAATTATACAATTTAGCCTCTCTGGTCCTTTGTTCCCACTGAGGATAATTAATTAGTTGATACACATTTACCTAGTCCCTTGAAGTTCATTTTAATAAGATCTGTCCGGCAACGCCAGTGGCACAATGTAATGAAGACTAATAATCTTATATTTCTCTTCTTCAATGGTAGCTAATTATTAATATTAACTTATGTTTATAAGCAAAATTTCTCCTCACAATTAAGTTTAAACATCTGAAGAATAGTGAAAGTATGCTTGAAATAAAGTATTCCCAAATCAAGTTGTGTAGCTCCTGACCAGTTCACTTCATCGAGACTCCCCTAACTTTTGTCTTTTAACAGATTTTTCATTGAGTCCATCTGCTTCTATCCATATCAACCTGGTCCAAACTCACACTCTTCTAGTGGAATCACTGGGTCTCAAAAATCTTATAGCCGTGCTAAAATATTGATCCCTTGCTTAGTCTATAGAGTTCATTTTTTAAAAAGCAGCCCAAAAATGTACTCTGAACCATAAATGAAATGGAAAAAAAGTGGGGGGGGGAGGTGTTTTCTGAAGGGCCACAGAAATAGTCTGCATAATTTACAGGAACATGTAGATTCATTTTGTAAACTCTGAAGCCCTTAATCTAGACTGGTATGATATCAATACTACATACGATTTATTTTTAGGAATTGATGACAATCCAGAATTCTTAGGTTTAAGAAATCAGACATTAATAAAGTTTCAGATCACATAAATACATAACTATTTTTGTTCTAAAGAAATTATTATCCAGATCATAGTTATCACTGTCTCAGAAATTAAAGTTTGTTAAGTAACAAATTCTTTCTTATTCATAACTTATCAATCCAAGTAGCTTGACAGGGCTATACTACCAAAAGAAAACTTTACAATCACAGGAAACCTAAGTCCAAGTTATAACCCAGGAGATTCAAAAATCTCACAGTATTAAAGTAATCTCATATTTAGTGTCTCAGAAATATTACATAAAATAACAAGTACCTGTTTCAGTGTCTGTGATGAAAATTACTGGTAATATGGCTCACATATTATTAAGTATATTAAATATAAGAAATACACTCTTAAATATATAAAAGTAATTAGAGTTCTTAGATTTTAGATTATATATGAAAGAATGCACCCTTTTTATCATTGTAATTGTAAACCTAAATCTGCTGATTAGCCAAATACATTTTCCTGTTCTTATAAAAGCCTGTCACATAGGTGAGAAGACCATACACCATAATTTGTCAATATGCAATATTACTTAATAGTCAAATAAAATTCAAACAAAAAAATGCTCATTAGTATAGAAAATTGAGGGAAACTACTAATTTAGTTCTACTAATTTAGCTAAGATGAATTTTGTATTTTGGTTTAAAAGATAAGATCTATTTCTTTTCCTAAAAAGAAGAAAAAGAGGAAGACTAGCGTTTCTTACTAAGAACTAGTGTTCAGAGGGTTTTGTGTACAAAAACCCATTTAATTTTCACAGCAGTCCTCCACAGGTCAAGGCAAATACTATTATTACCACCAGTTTTAGAAATAATGATGCAGAGGTCAAGAGCTTAAGTAACTTGCATAAGGTTAAGTAAGAAGTATATAAAGTATTTCCTTAAAACACATCGTATAACAATAACTGAGAAAATGACATGAAAAAAAAAAAACACATCGTATATAGTTTGAACTAAAACACCCCAAACAGTATATTTAAATATGTATATGTGTATGCATGTGTACTAAAATCATGTAAAAATGAGATCTTCTATTTATAACTCAATTTTTACACTGATTTTATCATTATTAAGTCTATGAATATGCATAATAATTTTAGTTTAATTTATAGATAGTCTATGTGTGACCAGAAATCATTCTGGTAAGTTACAGAGGGGCCTGATAAATAGAAAGCTTTGAACACGGTTTTACTTCAGTTTGGACCTTTCCTTATGTTTTCTCCATTTCGTTTGGCATTTTCTAATTTTAACAAAGACAAAATGTTCCACAAAGTTCTGTGCCTTTAAATGTCACACAGTTTTCTTTTTCACTTTTAGTTCCCTTTCTTCCCAAGCTGTTCATCTCAAGAGGCAAGTTAAATGTGTGTGACTACTAATTACCTAGCTTATTATGTATTGTAACAAATGTCTAATATGATTATAATATAGAAGTATGCCAACCAATAATTATTATATTAATAACACCTACATTAATTCATTTAAATGCTTTTGTAGTTTATAGTGATTCACCAAAGTGAATTAGCACCTAATTCTAATTCTAAGTCACGTTAGTCCACGTGCAACTAAAGATTTCAATTTAATAATTATAATTTTACTTAAAACATTGAGATTAATTAGTATAATTCAGTGGATTTCTAATCTAAAATCTTTATTATTTTAACTTGAAACTTAGCAAGTTCCTTCTTCAAGTAATTATTGAGTAATTGAAATTTAAGATTAACTCAAATGTATGTGAATTGACAGGTGAAGGATTTAATTCAGCTGTTAGAACGTCCCCTAATGAAAAGTATTTCATTTATTTTGGAGTGGTTGTCCTGGCACATCTGTTGAGTGACAATGGAAATATTTTACTTAATAGAATTAGCATTTATGTAGAGTCCTTTGTTACTTCCAAAAGTTTGTAATTTTACTAATTTAGGGAATACTGAGTTCTCAGTGATGATGATGGTCCTTTATGCTTTATCAGTTCTGTAAATGATAATACTTTTTTTTTGTATAAATATATGTTACAGCATTCCAGCCATGTGCTTAATGTCTACTAACTTGAAAGTTCCACAGGCCTAAGCTGATGTCCAAACTTCTTTCTTCACCTAAAATACTTTCCCATTTCTCTCTTTTATATCCTCTTCTATCCCCACCTATCAAAGACTCTATCCCCCTTTTTTTTTTCTTTTTTTCAGTTTTTTTGGCTGAGGCTGGGTTTAAACCCACCACCTTCAGCATATGGGGCCAGCGCCCTACCCTTTTGAGCCACAGGCACCACCCAACTCTACCCCTTTTTAATTCCCAGTTAAAACACTTGTAAAATATTCACTGGCCAGTCTTACATTTTTGTTAATAGTTTTGGGGGGACAGCTTTACTGAATATAACACACACCATGTAATTGACTCGTTTACAGCATACAATTTAGTGATTTTAGTGTATTCACAAAGTTATGCAACCATCACCAAAATCAGTTTTAAAACATTTTATTAGCCCTAAAGGTAACCTCCTATCTTTGGCTATGCCCCCAGTTTTCCTAACCCCCTCCTGCAGTCCTAGGCAACCACTGATATACTTTCTGTCTCTATAGATTTGCCTGTTCTGGATGTTTTATATAAACAGAGTCATAAATAGCCTTTTGTGTCTGGCTTCTTTTGCTTAAGATGCTGTTGTTAAGGTTCAGCTATGTTGTGGCATCTGTGTTCTTTTTGGGGGGATATTCCTTCATATGGATATACCGTGTTAATTCATTAGTTGATGGACATTTGACTTGTTTCCACCTTTTAGCTATTAATGATGAATCCTTCTATGAACATTAATGTAAAAGATTTTATATGGACATATGTTTTCATTTTTCTTGGGTGCATACTTAGGAGGGGAATTGCTTGGTCAAGTAATAAATCTACGTTTAACTTTTCA